GGCTCCAATGATAAGCTTTCTAAGGCAGCTTCTCCTAGGCAGGAGGAGAGGGATGGGCACTTGGGACAGAGGGAGCTGTCTTTGCCTACTGTGCTCAGGCTCTGGGTTCTCCTCTCTCATACCGATCTCGTGTGGTCCTTAAAACATGACAATAACAAGCTATGCAAGGCGGACATGTTTACATACACCTTTGAGAGTGGCAAATACATATACTCACTCTGTAGAATAAGAAATCAACGTTCAGCCCAGACCTCAATGGATTGGCTCAATGGATAGAGCATCGGCTTGGGGATTGAGGGGTCTCGGGTTTGATTCTGGTCAAGGGCATGTAACTTGGTTGTGGGCACATCCCCAGTAGGGGGTGTGCAAGAGGCAGCTGATCGATGACTCTCTCTCTCATCGATGTTTCTAGCTCTCTATCTCTCTCCCTTCCTCTCTGTACAAAATCAATAAAATATATTTTTAAAAAAGAAAGAAATCAATGTTCAGAATGATAAAATCACTTGCCCAGATCCTGACTGAGGCAGGATTTGAACCCACTTCCTATACCCCTCCCACACCACTGCTCTGCCAGTGCAGCATCTGGCTTTTCTTTTCTGCTTCATTTCACAGCTCACAGAAGCAAGAATGACATTTGTTCTTATGGTGTTCCTTTCAGTTTCAACTCATAAGTTACAGACCAACAGTTAATTCCATAATTGCTTTGAAATTTTAGTGTTTTGTTTTGTTTTGTTTTGGTATAAGGAAAGGATGGTCTAAAACCTTACATGTGCTAAGGAGAAAGCTCCTTCCCTGTTTACAGACTAGGGTGGCCACTTACCCTGGTCTTTCCAGGACTTCCCCAGTATTGGTACTAAAAGTCTTACATTTTGGGAACTCCTCAGTCCTTGGAAAACTGATATGATCACCATATTACAGGAGCCCTTAAAAAGTGCTATCACCATCTGGTAGCTGATTCCCCAAATTGCAGGTATAATTCACAAGCATTGTATCTTGCCTGTTGGGTATGGGGTTTTTTGTTGTTTTGTTTTAATCCTCACCAGAGTGTATGTGTGTGTGTGTGTGTTTGTGTGTATAAATATATATATAATTATATATATATATAATTTTTATAATTATATATATATAATTTGTGTATAATTATATATATATAATTTTATTTAAGAGAGAGAGGAAGGGAGAGGAAAAGAGAGAGAGAAACATTGATGTAATAGAGAAATATAGATTAATTGTCTCCCCTATGTACCTGACTGGGGATCAAACCCCCAACCTGGGTATGTGCCCTGATCAGGAATCGAATCTTCAACCCTTTGGTGCACTGAACAACATTCCAACCAACTGAGCCACACTAGCTAGGACTGTTTAGCGTGTTTTGAGCAGCAGAAATGTGGTCCATTTTATTAGATAAATAGACATATAGATAAAGCACACAAGATGCCCACCCCCCAAATTTGAAAATTCCACTCAAGAAAATTCCATAGTAGATACAGTAGTAACCATAGTAGATACAGTAGTGATCAATTAATTTTAAATTTATCAATTCATATTAATAGCCTCCAACTATGTAATCACTATATAGTCAATATCTAGCAGCTTAAAATTGTTTTCAAACTTGGGTCCTAAAAAGGACTTACCCTAAGTCAGTGGTACAGGGATGCCCAAGGGCCCAGTAAGGTAGGTGACTTGCCCAAGTTGTTCACTGGGTGACCCGCCTGCATTTTGCTCCTCTGTCCCTGCTCTCCCAGCTCTTTAGTCAAACCAAGCATCTCTCCGTGTCTTCTCTCCTCAGAGCCCTGTCCTCTACATGGCCTGAGATGGAGATGGGATTCCTCTTCCCAGGAAATGGTGTCCTCACAGGGCTTACATGTACTGTCTCCTGAATTCAATTCAACTCAAGTGCAGATACATTTAGTTAGCATCCATGTGTCTTTAAAATATTTTGTAAGAAACCATTTTTAGGTGCAATAATGTTTTTCACAGTATAGTGATTTCACAGTATAGTGATTTACTTTTTCACAGTCTGGAAGGGTTCCAGCATCCTCTTTTACGCATTGGAAAAAATGCACAGGCCCATGGCCTAACATAGTATAATAGCATATCGCTCTAGAGACTGCTCCACCCCCTGGTGGGGAGGTGGGGGCTTGTTTTCCTTGGAATAATCCTTCTGGTTCACCAAACACTTCTTCCATGGTCTCCTTGGGTCTCAGGCCCCTGCAGCATAGCACAGTGGGGAGACAGACTGTCTGCAGTCAGGCCAGACTCCTTCCCTTACAGCAATGCCTGGTCTTGAGCAAATCCCTTAACTTCTCTATGGCCCAGTTTCCTCTTACGGAATGTGAACAATGATAGTCCTTCCCACATAGTTGTTATGAGGGTTAAATAAAATAAGATAAACCATGTGAAGAGCTCAGTAGAGCACCTGATTTGCAGTAAGCGCAATGGACATTTTTGCTACAACAGACACACCTTGGAGATCTTGCAGGTTTGGTCCCAGACCACGGCGATAAAGGACACCCCGCAATGAAGTGAGGCACACAAACTTTTCTCTTTTTTGTGTGCATATGAAAGTTATGTGTCTACTATAGTCTATTGAGGGTACTATAGCATTATGTCTAAAAAACAATATACATACCTCAATTAAAAACACTTTACTGCTAAAAACGCTAACCACCCTCTGAGTCTTCAGCAAGTCCAAGTTTTGTTTTATTTTTTTGATGCTGATGGCCAGTTGCTCAAGGTGGGTGGCTGTCTAGTTTCTTAAAATAAGACGATGAGGTTCACCACATCAACCAACTCCTCCTTTCACAAAAGCTTCTCGGTAGCATGCAGAGCTGTCTGATAGCATGTGACACACAGTAGAGCTTCTTTCAGAATTAGAGTTAGTTCTTCAAACCCTGCTGCTGATTTGCCAATGAGCATATGTGATATTCTAAATCCTTTGTTGTCGTTTCAACAACCTTCACAGCATCATCACCAGGGGAGGTGTGCGATGCTTCCTTCCACTTGAACTTGGAGGCAATTGTAAGGTTACTAATTGGCCTGATTATAATATTATTGTGTCTCAGGGACTAGAAAGGCCCGAGGAGAGGGAGAGAGACATGGAAACTGCCAGTTGGTGGAGCAGTGGGAACACTCACAACATTTATCAATCTTATATGTGGTGCCAAAAGCAATGACCATGGTGACATCAAACATCGCCGGTCTCAGATCACCAAAACACATAGGAAAATAAAGAGTCTGAAATATTACAATGCCAAAATGTGATGCAGATACATGAGGCAAACAAAGCTGTTGAAAAATGGCACTGACAGACTAGCTGAGTGTAAGGTTGCCACAAATGATCAATTTGTAAAAAATGTAGTATCTGCAAAGTGCACCAAAGTGAAGCACCATAAACCCAGATACATTGAGGCAAGTGAGACACAGAAGAAAAACTAGTTTACTCATTAGAGACCATCTTAGAATTGGAAATTGTGTCCTCAGACCATCAATCCTAAGATATTTTCTGTGCCCAACACAGACTTTTTAATATATATACAGTGCATGAAATTTGTACCTGGATGGGGAATTCATTTAGTTCAGCCTTCACCCTTTCCAATTGGGGTCTCCTTGGAGATGTCTGACTGCTGGATATCCCTCTTGCAATCTGGGACCATTGGCTCTTAACTGCTCACCTGCCTGATCACCCCTAACTGCCTCTGTCTGCCTGATCTTGCCCCCAATTGCCCTCCTCTGCCAGCCAATTTGGTTCTGATTGGTCTGTTTCTATGTCAGTCAGTGTCAAAAGCTCTGCCTCCTAGGCAGCCATTAGCTCCTCACATTTCACCCAGATTTGTTTCTGATTGGTCAGTTTCTATGCCAGTCAGCATTTCTGGGCCTATGAATGGGGCATGATCAGAAAGGCAGGGCTTATAAGCAGTCCCAATGGAGGCCTGGAGAGAAATGGAGGCCCAGCTGCTGGCCAAACTGTGAAAGAGAGAGGCAAGTGCTGATCAAAAGCTGCCACAGAGGCTACAGATCAGACCCTGCTTCTCTCTTCAGGCCTCTTTCTGGCCCTCCCTCAGCAGTCAGTGCTGGGGCACCAGGCCTGCAGTGGAGGCAGTCAGCACTGGGTTGCTACGGCTCAGCACTGGTTGAACCTCAGTCGTTATAGATCATTACACCCAGGGTTTTTATTTATTCATATTTTAGCTGTTTTTTTTATTGTACTTCTAGCTTATGAATTATTATTAACAGAATAAATAGCTTAAAAGACTAAACATGACAGAAACAACAGAAATAAAATGAAATGCATGAACCTATAATACTTGTCTTTAAGGAACCCATCATTTAATCAATATTTATTATAATATAAAGCAAATTGTAAGTGGTTTTATTTCTGTCACCCATACTTCAGTTTGAAGTCAGCACTTCTTTTCCCACACAGATCCTAACAAGAGTTTGCAAACCGATAGCCCACAGACTATTTTATTTGATGACTTTATTTAATCAAAATACTACACATACCAAAATCAGAATCTCTGACTCTTGAAAATAAGTTCTGTCTAACTGGGCCCACATTCTCATGGGACAATGATGGAATTAACTAGTGATAGCTGACACTCTCCCTGTTACCTCTCAGATCTTGTGGCCAATCCCAGCTTCTCTCAGTGCTCCTCTGAGCTTACACTGTCCTTCCCCTCATTTTAAAGAAATACCTCCCAAATTCCTATGTCTCTATCAACAGGGGGAAATGAGCAATAGACTCTAGGAGCACCAAGGTGTTCCTCCCGTCGGGTGAGTTTCCTGTTCACCTGCTGGTGGCACCACAACCGCATAGTCTCCTCATGGCGCTGTGGCCTCCCGCATGGCCAGGTCACCCAGGCAGGCCTGGAGCTTCATGCCCTTGCCATTTCCCTGGAAGCTTGCTTCTCAGAGCCTGAAAGCATTTGGCAAACACCAGTGATGGACATTTTCCTCAAATTTTTCAGATGAAAAATACAAGAGTGGAAGGAGCTTACCTGAAGCCATGGTTGGACCTGAGAGAATACAAGGTCTTCTGAGGTCTTCCAGCTGCTGGCTCCAGCCCGGACTTCTGTGTAGAAAGGACACGAGGCTGTACCTGTGCGCCACTGCCTCCTGGAAGCTTCTGCTTCTTCCTGAGACCTGGGAAGAGGCAGGAGAGTGCAGCTGCCTTCCACACACCCACGCAGGCTGGCCAGGCCCTGCTGCCAGAATGGTGACTCAGGCTAACAGAAGCCAAACTGGTTCTTATCTGCATAAGACTGGAGGTCACGTGAGGGCTTGAGTTGGACCAGTGGGGCTGGACATGTGTGCCCACCCCACCCAAATGCCACCAGTTCATGCATGGGTCCATAGATGCAGACAGTATGGACCATGTGCTAGCCACTCCTCCAGCCAGACAAGATCTTGATCCCCTGTGCCAACCACTTCTCCAGCCAGACAAGTCTCTGATATTCTTTTTTTTTTTTAATTTTTACATTTTAATATATTTGTATTGATTTCAGAGAAGAAGGAGAGGGAGAGAGAGATAGAAACATCAATGATGAGATTGGTTGCCTCCTGCACACCCCCTGCTGGGGATCAAGTCTGTAACCCAAGTATGTGTCCTGATCAGGAATCAAACCATGACCTCCCAGTTCATAGGTGGATGCTCAACCACTGGACAAGTTTGCTGATATTCTAATGGAGGAAGGCAGACAGGAAAGAGGTAAATAAATAAACTAACTTTATATGCTGCTAAGTGTTATGAGGGAAATCAAAACACAATGTTTCTGAGGGACATCCAGGTGGGTACGTGCTGTAGGGAAAGTGGTTAGGGAAGGCCTCTCAGAGAAGGTGACGTTGAGCTGAGATCTGAGTGAGGTGAACAAAAGGAACATGTTCCAGGTGGAGGGAACAGCAATCGCGAAGGCTCCTGGGTGTGTGCGGTTCTTCATGGTGTGAAGATCACGTGGTTAGGGTATGGTTTAGGGAGCAAAGGGCGTCCATGCCTTTCCCAGTTACCTCAGGCTCTGCACTCTTGGTGCCTGGGTGATGCTGACCTCAAGGCCAGATACTCCCCCACCTTCACTAGAAGACCCTGTGTTCGGAACCTTCTCCTCTTGGCCATCAAGAACCTGCTCTCTGGCTTCATGCCCCTGCACCCTGTCATTAAGGGAAGGCAACTCAGAACCCTTAAAGTCATCTGGGTAGACACCTGTGGAAACATAGGCAAGGGCTCTTTTGAGAGAATGAAAGTCCTGGCTGCTGTCCCCAGGTCTGCACTCTTGACACATCCCCTCTGCTCTCTAGGCCTCAGTCCAATAGCTGTAAAATGGCTGGCATTCCCCGCCCCCCTTAGATTAGAGGCAGGCTAACCAGGAATGACAGGCAGGCTGTAAAGTGCTTCATGCCCAGAGTGCATGGAAAGAGGGCCTTGCATGGGCACTGCCTTAGGGCAGAGGAAGCAAAGGGAGGGGTAGGCACGCCTGGCGCAGCCTCGGAAGGCGGCTTTCAAGCCTGTCTCTCCCGTGGGGAAGGATGGGCACGCTCACTCCTTATCCTTAAACATGTCCAGAGGAGTCTGCTGAGTTCTTCTCGGTCCCCTAACCCTGTCTCTGGGGCCTGGACTCACATCCAGAGTCCCTTCACTCAGCCCACAGGCCTGAGGTCTGGCTGGGAGGTGCAGGGGGCGGGTGGAACCCCATCCTGGGTTCTCAGACCAACCGCAGGGACTTCCCACACCTTTACTTCCTGCTCTTCAGCAGGGCTCACAGCTGCACGAAGGCCTCTGAGCCAGGCGGGGGACTTCTGAGGCAGCTTCTGTAGAGAAACGCCTGTTCCAATCAGGAACTAGATTTTGTAAACCTGGAAAGTTGAGCATTGGGGCAGCCAGGACACCTGCCAGTGAGACACTGTGGAGTCTGTATCTATTATCACATTGGAGGGCCACTCCAGGAGGTGGGTCTGGTGCCCAGAGGTTCACACTTATTGCCTCCTGTCTTCCAAGCACCTTATGTTGTCCATAAGCCACCCTATGAGATGGGCACTGTCTGACCCCGGTTTCACAGATGTCCTCAGGGTCACATAGACTGGTTCAGAATGAAGCCCAGATGCAGACGGAGGGGGCGGTGGACAGACCATCATGACTGCTTTGTGGCCCATGAACTTCCTGTTCCCAGTTACAGTCTCTCCTGAGATCCGGCTGTGCTTCCTGTCACCATGTCCTGTTTCATAAATTCTCCTTTATAATAGAAGCTCAAGCAAGTCTGTTTCCTGCAATCAGAGTCAGGCATGAGATAATCCTGTAAAAGCCAAGTGATGCAAGGGGACTGAGAAGTCTGGCAAATGAAAATGAAAATGCAGAGGCTGGGTTCCAGACGGGCACAGCAGCTCTCCCATCCAGGCTACCCCCCAGTTCTCCATAGGACCCCATCAGTCTGCCGGCACCTGCCTTATTCTGGAGACCTGCTCCTCCTTTTCTCACACCCTCCATTCCCTCCATCCTCAGACAGCGTAGAATAGAAGGCAAAGCTAGGTCAGAGCAATCGACCTTCCTGGTGTCCTGGGAGCTGAGGCTTAAGGAAAAGGTGTGGTGTCTCTTTGCTCAGAGCTGTCAGCTACATGGATAACCAGCAATCACAATAAAACCGAATGTGTGCTGGTCCTCACGCACCTGCCAGGTGTGACCTGAGACCCTGAGGACAGAGGTGCGCGTGGTGGGTATGTCCTTGTCCTCCAGGACTCAGTGTCCACACCTCCAGAAACCGCATCACAGGGTGCTGTGGACCTGGATACAGGGAGCACAGAGCAGGAACACCCAACCCACGGGGCTTGGGGTGGGGTCTCAGAGGGAGATGGACAGCCTGGCAAGAGGAAGTGAGAAGTAGCATGGCTGGGGTGCAGGCAGGCCTGAGTGCTCAACACCAAGTGCAGTGGTCAGGGCAGAAGGCAACTTGAAGAGCCCACAGGGTAAGGGGCCTGGCCTGTACATCCTTATCCAGTTACCCCTTCAAGGAACCTGGACTTGTAGCAGAATAGGGGTGCCAGGACTTCCCATAGGAAAGGCATGGGAACAAGTTTAGTAACTCTTCAGTTTGTGTTTTCCTTCCTACTCTTCTCTGGGGAGCTGGTCATAATTATGGCTTCTTATCCCCATATATTATCCAAAGAGCAATTGGAACCATCAGGTATCTCTGTTGGTTGTTTCGTGTCACAGGGGTTTGAGTGTGGGAAGCCCTGCCCCAAATGTCGGTCACCTGGGAATGCTTCCCTTTCTGAGGCCAGTGGCTTTCAATGGGAAAGTAGAAGCGTTCCCACCACAGGGTCTTGCGGTGTTTCAGATTCCCGGTCAGTCGGCTAGCTGCAAGCCTCTCTGTGCTGGGTGACAGGAACACTCTGTGCTGGGTGGCAGGGTTGCATCACTGGGGATAGGAGGCTGTGTCCGGAACAGAACAGCCCAGGGTCGGGCTTGCCCAGGCCAGGAGACTGCCCCAGCTGCTGGGTCCCAGCACAGTGCCAGGTCATGAACTTAGATGGGGGAGGGCCTTCCCATCTTGGTCTGTTGCAAGAACATAGATGCTTTCCACGGGACAGGACTCTGTGTGATGGTCCCATGCAAAGTCACCCACTTTGTGGTTCATGCCTGACTGGCAGAGGATGCTTTCAATACGTGCACAAGCCTACCATGCCATGGAGATTAGCATGCGAGGTATTTACTCGGGAGCTAGTTTGAGATGTGAAGAAGGAAGGACAGAGCAGAAAGTGAGGTTGAGCTGTGATGCAGCCCAGACATAGGCCTTCACCCATTTGGAGAGAGGGTGGCCCTGGCGAGGGAGTCAGGCCTTTCCATTCCCAGACTGACTGGCCACTTGATGCAGGCTTCCCTTGGAGACGAGCTGTGACCTCTCAGCAGTGGCCTGTTCCCACAGGCAGGTAGGAGGTCTGGGCAGCACACTCAGCATCCACAGTAACAATGACAACAGCAGTCGTCAGGCTATCACACACACACACTCTTCCTGACTCTCACAACAATCATCAGATATATTTTTATTATCTCCATTTTACAGTTGGGAAAACTGAGGCATGGGGCTGTTTGACTCCGAGCCCTAGTCACCACCATGACGCCTCCTTCAGAAGGAAGCACTAGCAGTCAGGACACCTAGTTTTTCCAGTTACCCATTGACGGTGTCCCAGACAAGCCCTATTCCTCTCTGACAGTCACTCTCCCCAGCTCTGAAATGGGGATCTGAACACCTGACCTGATGCAGCATCATTGCTAAGACCAATTAACACAGGGCTATGAAGTGAGAGTGCTTGGTGAACTGCTAACTCTTTACACGTATAATATGGAATTCTTATTCCACAAGAAGGGCAACATGTGACCTAAGAGGCGGCAGCATAAGCCCCCCACAAGCCTCTGAGGATGACACTGGGCCTAGGCCTTTGGAAATGCCAAGTGGCAGGCCACTTGGCAAATGGAGAAATGGAGGCAAGTGAAAGGGAAGTCTGTGGACAGAACTTAGATTAAGAATCTGTTTCCAACATGGCCTTGGTATGGCTCTGAAGCCACTACGGAAATAAGGGCTAGCCCATCCAAGAGCATGAGGACCTCCTGAGCAACGTGGGAAGGAGGTAGCATTTTTTAAAGCCTACCTGCGCTTGGCACCTGCCAGGTGCTTTATGTGTCTAATGTTTTCATCTCTTCAACAGCCAAAGGCACTTGTCAATCAGCAAATCAGAGGTTTGAAAGTGGGAGGTTACTTACTTAAGGCAGGACCTTGGTCTTCCCCTACACACCTGGCTGCCACCTGCCAGATGAGACGCTAGCTTCAGTGCTGCAGTTGAGGAAATGTTGGCAGCTTCATGGGCTGGCCAGCATGTAAATTGTTTCCATAGAAGTTGAAGCTGTGGGATAGAGGGAGAACCTCCAACTCTTACAAGAATACTTGTTCTTTAATTTGGGGATTGGTCTGTTCTGAGGTTAATATGCGGGGGGCTGATGTGGGTGAGTAGTAGCAGCCTGCTGA